AATATCAAGAATGAAGAACTCGGTTACTGTGTTTTCAATTTCCTGTATCCAATCATACTGTGTGGTATCTGGGTCTAGTTAGAGAGGTTCGCTGCGGCCGTATCTTGACGAGAAGATGAATATACTGGTCACCACAACTTTGTTCCAGAAAAAGTATCAGCGTGAGTCGACGAATGATGATTGTCAGAACTTATACGTATCGTGAAGATCGAAGAACGTTCTGCTATCAACGAAAATTCCGTCTGATTTTTGTTTGCCGAGACTTCTGATACTGGAGGGTTTATATTTATGACTATTTAGACTTCGTGAATTTTTCCCTTTGTTCAATTTCTTTCATGACTTTCGACTTGCCATTTAGCTAATACCGGTGACTATTCTCTTATCGTGCTAAAATATGTTGAAATATTGATCGACGTGTTTGAAGCGATAAAAACGCCTCGAAAATGTTTCCAGCTTTGCTTCGGGTCCTTTTTTCTATGAATGGGATGGGGATCGAGCAAAGCCAGCGCTCTATTCGCGTCAACAGAAGTGAGTGTATCACGCGGAGAATCTGTACTCCAAGGCGTAGTAAAACTCGTCCTCCTCTCCTTTTTAACCTTCGCGCTTTGCCCACTGATATGCTAGTTGAAATGACCTCGAAAAACAAAAAATCTCGTAAAACTTTTATTTCGTATTTTACATGATATTTCACTTCCAATGAGTGTAAAATTTGAATTTTGAATACTTAAGCTGATTATTACCGATTATTTATCAAATTCTAGAGAAGTTGAAATGTTTTTTATAACAAGGGATACTATAGTGCCTACGAAGCTGACCGTTTTGATTCCTGTTTTTTGGATTGCAAGAGATTTCATCGTATTTTTAGAAGTCGTAAGTTTGCTTGCGTTATATATGGGTGATTTTCTAGCCTAGTTTTTGAAGCAAGGATTCTGATTTGATTTTCCAGCTTTTCTATCATATTTATCACCCAGAAGTCTCGCATTTTCGTATTTATGTTTATCTTTTCAGAAAACTGCTGATTTCAGCACGTGGATTTTCCACTTGTGAAATTAGATAAGCGATGGGCGATCAATTCAGTTTTCTGTGAGTCCGGAAAATTTGCTGAACCTGCGTAGACGAATCCCATCGGAAGTGCGCCGCCTTTTCAAGCAGCTGATTATCACAGAATTTCCAGTGTTTCGACTTTGCTTTTGGCTTTTATGGTAGGAGAAGCTCGACATCGTTTGCCGTTATTACAAAACTCCATGAATTTATTATTTGATTATTCAATTTAACATTCTTCTGCACCTGTTCAAATTTTTGGCGTGACGTAGTTCTAGATATCTAAAGCCAGTACGTTTTAGTTGTTTTCTTCTCCCGGGAAAAACAAATAACGCTGCTGAAATTTGTCTTCTTATCTTTGCATTTGGCAGCAATCAAAAGCCAACACTGGCCGGCCGATTTGGCCGCTTGTCGCCACGTGTGGTCAATAGGCTATACACCTGAAAATAACAAAATTACCGTAGCACAGCTTTATTGAACGAAGAGGTTCTCCTCGGATTAACTATTGTAAACCTTATATGGCGACAGCGGCACCGTGGGGCAGGCGTTTCACCACCGAGAGGTTATTTTAGCGCCGAATTTTACCAGAAGGGAATTTGCATGAATTTTCTTTTCTGAGGTGCACCAGATCGCTTGAGTTTTTGCTTGATTTGTCGGAATTTTATTTCATTGCGGGGGTTAAATGCTGTGATAATGCTTGCTGTTACACAACACCTTATTTGGAGGCGTCAGCCAATTTGGTGAGTCCGTCGTTGTTATTACCACAAACACTTCCAACTCCTTCCGGCGCGGAAGGAATCCATGGTGAATTTATTACTCTTTGTCTACTTCAGTCGATCTCCTTGAAGCGGACATGGAGGCGCTGCGCCTGCTGATGACAGCTGGTGTCGTTTTTATTCATCAGCTGTTCTCTTCCTATTAGTGGAATGTTCACAATAAAGAACGAGCGGATCGTCGGCTAAACACATCAAGATCTGGTTAACTTTCCAATTAGTTCGTTGTACTTGGTTATTTTTTCATTTTTTGTTCTTGTTTGCCGTCTGGGACATTGTTGTCTTTTTGTTTTACAAAAAAGTTGATAGGGGCTTGCCATTTTAGAATGCTGGATGTTTTGCAAGCAACGACGGTAAGGTTGGCTATTACAGATGGTTTTGTGTGTGTTTTCTCCACGCTCCTCGAAATATGGTTTGATGTTATTTTGGCAGGCTCATCGATCTTGTGGAGCCGTATAATCACCAAATGTATGATTTTGAGGTATGATGAAAAATACTTTTGGGATTGGGTTAGAGAAGAAAGATTTTTTATCAGTGAAATTTTTGGAAAAGGCGTCGATGATGCGGGGAAAGTGGCTGTGGAAACTTCTCCTCAAAAGTAGAAGTGACACACAACATTCAAGTTGTTAATTCTAGAGTCGAGGTGAGATTAGTAATGAAGAGAGAAGGGCATTGCACTAGAACGTGGTAGCCTCACACTAAATTGATTTCTGTGTGTTTGACATTGCCAGATGTGATACTATCTGAACCCTATTCTTTTGTATGCTTGATAGACGTTTGAGATCAAGTGATTATCTATTGCATTCAGCACCACAGGCTTGAACGATTCGATCTTCTGATTATCACCCGCTCCTTTTACCCATGAGGTTCATAAATATTTACTGATCGTATATTATTTCGATCTATTCATTGGACGCTAATTTTGTGACAAGCCGCGTCCAAAAGCGTCTTATTAATGGCCTCAGATTATTCTGTTCGTTCCGATTATTTTCGCGACGAAAACGTCAGAAAATGAGAATTGTCAAAATTTCGTATTTCTTCAGTCTCGATGCGGATCGCCTTCACAATAAGTAGCCTTGTCGTTTATAATTGTGTACAAACATCGAGAGGGCTCTATCTTACATGTTGCCTGCTATCATTTCTTTTTTGTGTCAACGGATCTGTTTTCAGAACAGAAAAAAAAATTCGCAAGTTGTGTGCAGGTCCTTCTTATAGAAGCTTTTTTCTGCGATCGTAGACAGCTTTTTTGCGAATGTGGATGAAAATTTTGATTTTCACGTTTTCCGTTGACTTGTCAGTTTTTAACACAATCATGCGTATTCTCTGTCTATTGGGGATGGCTAGAGATTTACGATAATTCTTGTGAGAGATTTATATTTCGTATTTTTTGTACAGACAGGAATGACGGCGGGAGAAACGATCACGGTTCGGTAACTCGACTCACTTCTTTCTTCCAGTGAGCGAAGAGATCAGGTTGATCCAAAACGGCTGTTTAAACATTTTGTTTTAATTTTCCAAGTCTGTGGCGCCTGGCGATCGTTCCTTCTTCTGCTTTAGCAATAATTTCTTTCTAGGCCTCTGTTCAGTAGAAGTTTCGTGTTGGGATCGTAACAAAAAATAATTTGATTTCTGTTCTTCAAAAGGTATTTGCGGCCGACGAATGGATATTAGTCCTAACTTGAAGGATTGCTCCTGTGGCCAATTCGACGAGGCAGCTGTTAAGCCTGGGGAGGCGGGGAAAAGTTTTTTGAAGAGGACGTTTTTGAATCAAATTTCACATTTTATCGCGTTCGTTTATCATCTCCGATGATATTTTTGCTTTTTTGTTTATTTCCGAATCGCTATTGGTGTCTTCGATACAAGTTTGCGAAATAGACTGGAAGAAGTTATAAAATCAGATCTGCTAGAAATTCGGCATCCCGGGGTGAGAACCTCTGACACTGTCCACTAGGCTTTTATACGTCTGAATGAACGAACGCCAGTTGACGGGGCCAAATATTACGCCTGACTACGGCCAATAGACACTTGAGGGCTGGTTTCATGACTTTCTTCAACATATCAGCCTTCTCATTTAGCCATCGATTCCTCCCGCAATTTCGGTGAGATTCAAATTTTTACAAAAGTGTTTTTTGATTTGCGAATCACGGCAATCGTGCAGCTGCTTTGAAGAGGGCTAGGTTATGTGACGCGGCATCACTCAAAATTTCGTCGAGTAAAAAAACAAGAAGATGTCAATATTAATCTAGATTTACAATAGATGACGACATTGAAATATTTTTTTGACTACGCTAAATTTTGTCGCAAGATTTGGGTTTATTTTTGTTTCGATTTCTTAATAATTTGTTTCTTTCAGGAACGTACGTTTTGCGGAATTCGTGTTTCGTATAGTTATATCCGAGAGTCCTGAATTTGTGAGTAATTTTTTTAAATTCTTTTGCATTTTTTGAGTTGAGTTAGATTGTTTTGTGAGCAAGAGTAGAGTAGACTTTTTCTTATGGTCTTGCCTTAAATCGAGTCCAAGCACTCATCTGTAGTCTTTTCACTCCAGACTCCACCACCAGTAAGAATGGAGCGACCTGAGATTGCTAGGTCGCCCTTCGATCGCACAGTGCATCTACTGAAGAGATCTGAGCCGAACCGAGGCCTCGAAAGTTCGAAATTTCAGTTTCTCGATGCGAATTTAAATCAGCCAATTTATGACAGCTTTACGTCATTTGTTCCAACGCCGAAAGCGCCGGACGCTGGCTCGACTCTGACCTCCGCGAACCCAACAGTAAATTTCTACGGTTCAGAAGACTCCTGGCAAGACAGCCTCATATAAGACCGACAAGTATCAGTGTATCCTGACTTCCTATTACTTGATACTGGCGTGTGCCGACGATTTGAACGCATTGTTCGTAAGAATCTTATCAATTTTTGTTGTAACCTTAGCCGAAGGTTGCTCAGATCCAAAGGAAAGAAGAAGGCTGTTGAATCGTGATGGTGCAGCGAATTTCAAGATTACCGTTAATTGGTGAGAGTTAGTTTTTGAGATAATTAAGTTCAATCAGTGTAACAGACCTCCTGACTCATTTTTTTGAATCTGTTTCCTCCACCGATCGGCGACTAGTGTAGGGCGCGTCAAAAAAATTAGTCGCATATTGATTTGATATTACGCGGCAGGACACGATGACTTCGCCGCTTGCGCTACACAAGTCGCCTGGGAGAAGACCGCGCCTTGATTCTTGTGGTCTTCATCAACGAAACCACGAATCGGAAGCGGTTCTTTGCATAGAGATCCCAAGAGGCGACTGTGTAAGCGCGAGGTAATAGACGAGGTAGAATTTCTGAAAGTCGTCATTGATTATACCACGCATAATATAAATCAATATGCGACTAGTACGACGCGCCTTACCCACTAGTCGTTCAATCGGTGGAGAACAAGATTCAAAATGAATCAGGAGGTCTATTACACTGATTGAGGCCTAAAATTGAAAAAAAGAATTCACTAATTGTATCTTAAACTGCTCACCGATTGAACGTGCTGTTGAAATTCCCTTACACCATCCACGCTACACAATTCCAACAGCCTTCTTCTTTCCTTTGGATCTGAGCAGTATTCGGCTAAGGCTCGGATTACAGGCTGAAAACAAATTGATAATAAATTCTTACAGATATAAAAACAATGCGTTCAAAACTCGTCATTTACCCTTCCCGGCACACGCCGGATATCCAAGCAATAAGTCAAGATGTGCCTGATAGAGCATATTGTCGGAATGTATGAGGGCACTGTCTTGCCAGAGTCTTCATGAACCGTAAATTTATATTGGAGATTCGCTTTGGAGGTCAGATTCAGTCGAGCCAGCAGAAATTCGACGTCCATTTCGGCGTTGGGACAAATGACGTAAAAACTGTCGCCGGCTTCGAAGTTTTTCGTGGCTGATTCATTCGCATCGAAGGCTAGTTGAATTTCGAACTTTGGCTTTCGAACCTCCGGTTCGGCAGAGATCTCTTCAATGGAATGCACTGTGCAGTCGAAGGGACGGCCAACGGCGCCGGGAAAGGTCGCTCCATTCTGCCATTCGACGGTGGTTGGGTCCTGGAAATGAAAAGACGACAGATAATTAGGCATTACTCTTGGACCTCGATTTAGAAAGACAAGACCATAGAAAAGTCTACTCTCTGCAACAACTCTTGCTCACCGTCAATCCTATCAATCCAAAAAATACAAAAGAATTTAAAAAAATTACTCACAAATTCATTCTCCAAGACCTCTCCTCGGATATAACTCTTGGAGCATACGGGGACACGAAGATTTTCTACATTCCGCAAAACATCCGTTCCTGAAACAAATTATTAGAAATCGAAACAAAAATAAACCCAAATGTTTGCGTAAAATTGCGTAGTCCGAAAAAAATATTTCAATGTCGTCATCTATTTGTAAATCTAGATTAATATTGACATCTTCTTGTTTTTTTTTCTCGACAGGGAAATTTTTGAAATACAACACTTTTTACGTCTGCCCAAGACTAAAGAACGATGGCTGCCCGAAAAAAAACTTTGAATTTTCCCCCTTTCAAGCAGTTCAAAAGCGCATTAGATCAGCTTTCCGTGTTCGCAAGAATCAAAAAACAACAGCGCGAAACAGAAATTTGAATTAAAACATCTCACCGAAAACAAGGCCGGGAGGATCGATGGCTTCGCGAAGGGCTGATATGTTGAAGAAAGTCATAGAAACCAGCCCGCAAGTGCTCTGATAGTGTGAGCCAGCCGTGGAATGAGGCGCGGATCGGATAGTCCCGGGTGGTATTGGCCCGTCAAGCGTTCGCTGGCGTTCCGTTTCCCGGGGCGGCCGAAAAGCCTGAAAGAAATGGACAATTAGCGCAAAATCAGAGGTTCTAGCCCATCACGGGTTAAAAATTACTCAAGATTTCCTAGCCAAGGTCTGATTTTTATAACTTCTTCAATCTATTTCACAAAAAACTTGGCATATATCGAAAGACACCCAGTAACGTTCGGAAATGCGGCAAAATGGCAAAAAACAAAGCCTGTCATCTCGGAGATGATAAGCTCATTTGCGAACGCGATAAATACAATGAGCCCAGGAAAAACACCCGTTTGGGACGTCCTCTTCAAAACGTTTTCCCACTTTTTTTTCTCCCCAGGCCATGCGAAACGGCTGCCTCGTCAGGTGGCGTCCACAGGAATTGCCTTAATCCTTCCAAATTAGGATATATCCATTCATTTCCGACCGCAGGGCGAAAATACCTTTGAAGGACAAGGAGAGCTCAAATTATTTTTTCATTTTTCCGATCCAACGCAACATAACTTCTACTGAACAGGGCCTAGAAAGTTATTACACTTCCGACAGGAAGAAAGGAGCTGCAAATATCCTCCAAGCCACAAGACAAGGAAGAAATAAAACAAAAATGTTTAAACAGCCGTTTTGGATCAACCTACAAAGGAAATCGTACGTCTTTCAAGCTCATAGAAACTGTAAGAGGAAAAGTGGTCGAGTTACCGAGAGACCCGTGTCGATTAAAGTACTCCGCCGTCATTACACCGCAATATAGCCGCCAAATGTTACAAACCCCGAAATAAATAAATCTCTCACAGAACATCGTAAATCTCACAACTTCATCCCCAATAAGACCAGAAATACACATGATTGTGTTAAAAGCGGCAAATTAAATAACGGAAAGCAGTGAAAATCCAAAATTTTCCTCCCACATTCACTTTTTCTAAAAAAAACCAATCTACGTCACAGAAAAAGCTTCTATAAAGAGGACCTGCACTGGGCAACTTTGCAGACCGCTTCTCCTCTAGGTTCTGAAAACAAGGATCCGTTGACATAAAAAAAAGAAATGATAGCAGACAACATGTAAAAGATAAGAAACCCTCTCTGATGTTTGTACACAATTATGAGCGACAAGGCCCGTCTTCTGTGTGAAGAACGTCCGCATCCGAGACGAAGAAATACGAGAATTTTTTTGACAATTTCTCCTTTTCTGACATTTCGTCGCGGGAATTATCGGAACGGACGGAATGTCGCAAATTTATTGGGCCGATGAAAATAAGACGCTCAACGCTTTTTGAGACACGGAAACGATCACAAAGGAATTCAAGCGTCCAATGAATTAGATGCGGGCCTTCTGCGATCAGTAAACATTTATGAACCTCATGGTAAAGGGCGGGACCATCAAGAAATCGAATCGTTCAAGCCTGTGGTGCTGAATGCGCTATTTTGCAACGGTAATAGGCCTCATCACTTGATCTCAAACGTCTACAAGGTCAATTCAAGCATACAAAATACTGGCAGGTTCGGATTTATGGGTATCACGTCACAACATGTCGAAACGCAGAAACATCAATTTTAGTTTTCGTGAAACTACTACATTCTAGTACGAATACACTCTCCCCGTGGACGGCCCTATACTTCTTCGAGCTACTTAATCTCACGAAACCATCATTCAGACCTAGAATATAACTTTAATTGTGTAATACTTCTACTTTGTTGCGAGAGGGTTTCCCTTGCTCCTGCTTTTTCCCATCATCGACCTTTCCAAAAATTTCACTGACAAATCGCTTCTTTTCAACAATCATCCCAAGTATTTTTCATCATACCTCAAAAATCATACATTTTGGTGTTATACGACGTTTTCCGCAAGGTCGATGAACACTTGCCCCATCAAAATAACATCAAACCACTTCTATTTTCGAGAACGCCAAATTTGTCAATGGAAGAGCACACATAAAACCATCTATGCTCACCAACATACCGTCGTTGCTTGCAAAACATCCAGCATTCTAAAGTAGCCAAGCCCTATCAACTTTTTTGTAAAACAAAAGACAACAATATTTTCAATGTTTTTTAGGCAACAAACAAGAACAAAAATGTCAAAAAAATAACCAAAATACAACAAAACTGTATTGGAGATGGCCTAAGTGGGGGTGTAGATCTTGATGGTGTTGTTGTTTAGCCGACGATGAATCCAATACCGAATTTTCCTTCGTTCTTGACATGATTGAGCATTCCACTCAGAGCTAGGGAGAACGGCAATTGTTGGCTAAGTTTCTTTTCCATGACGGCACCGACAGTCCAGCTGGTGTCAGCAGACGCGCGAAGAGTCATGTCCGCTTCAGGGAGGTCGATTTGGTAGGCAAAGGTAGTAAGGGATTCACCGAGTCGGAAATTGGATTCGAATTCCACGCCGAATTGAAGGGTTGGAGCCTGTTTGTGGTAATAGCAGCAATGGAGGCCAGTTTCACCAAATTTGGCTGACGCGGTCCAATAAGGTGTTGTGTAACGAGCTGCGTACGACATCACGGACATTTGGCCACCTTAAATTAAGAAATAGGTCCGACAAATCAAGCAATAACACAAACTAAGTTTCAAGCGATCTACAAATCCTTCACCTCAAGAAAAAGAAGCTTTTCATACCTGGAATTCCCTTTTCCTTCTGGTAAATTAATTCGGCGCCCAAATCCAACCTCTCGGTGAGTCTTCGAAGCACTTGCCCCACAAGAATTCCACTATTCGCCACTAAGTTGGGGTTTACAATAGTTAATCCGAGGGAGGAATTGGCACCTCTTCGTTCAATAAAAGCTTGTGCTGCGGCCAATTTTCCTTGTTGCACCTGGCTCTGCAGTTTGACTCGATACTTGTCTCCAAATTGGTGCAATACGGTGGCCGAAGTGTTTCCTTGTGGGTCCGTGTCACCCAATATGACAGGATACGACTCACCAGGCCCTGCCACTTTGTCGCCGACATAAGTGGCGCCAAATCGGTAACCAGTGTTGGCTTTTGATATACTCAGTGTGTGCGAGACCTAAAAATGCAAGATAAGAAGACAAGAAGTTAACTGAATATAAAAGGAGATCATTTCAGCGAAAAAAATAGATTGGTATAATCCCGGGAGAGAAAGCTAACTAAAAACATTGATACTGGCTTTAGATTCTATCTAAACCCCGTCACGCCAAAATTTGAACGAATTGCAGAACGAAAAGAATGTTAAATTGGAGTATCAAATAATAAATTCATGGAGTTTCAATAGCAGCAAACAATCTCGGCTCCTCCCATAAATACCTAAAAGCCAAAAGCAAAAAAGTCAAACGATTTACCTGGAAATTCTGTGATAATCCTTTTTGCAACATAACCTTGGCACCTTCGAAGCACATCGGGAATATATCACGGCACTTCCGATGGAGTTCGTCATAACTACCTGGGTTGTTAGGATACTTCGGACCCGCCTCGTGAGGAGCAGATTGATCGCCCATCCTTTGTATGTTCTTCACAAGTGGAAAATCCACGTAGATGAGCGGTTTCTGCCCTGAAAGATAAACATAAATACGAAAATAAATAGAAAAAGACCAGACTTCTGGAGTGACAAAGAAAAACCTGATAGAAGCTGGAAAATCAAATCAGAATCCTTATACAAAAACCAAACTAGAAATCCTTATATATAGCAAGCAAACACGACAAAAATACGATAAAGTCTCTTGCAATCCAAAAAACAGGAGTCAAAACGGTCAATAAAAACGTGATAAGGCACTATGAATTATCCCTTGTTATAAAAAACATTTCCAGCTCTTCTAAATTTATTTTTGATAAATGTCGGTAACTATAATCAGCCCAAACATTCAAAATTCAAATTTTACACTCATTGGAGCAAATATCATGTAAAATACGAAATAAAAAAGTTTTACGAGATTTTTTTTTGTTTTTCGAGGTCATTTCAACTAGCGCTATCGGTCAGGCAAAGAGCGCGAATTCAAAAAGGAGAGGAGGACGTTTTATACGCCCAAACGTGCAAGACCTCCCTGTTTCGCACTCCTTCGCTATTTGTTGACGGGAATAGAGCGCTATTTTGCTCAAATGTTATCCCATTCGTCTATAGAAGGACCCAGCAAAGCTGGAAGTACATTTTCGGGCGTTTTCTAGTCCTTCAAACACGTCGGTCAATTAATTTCAGCACTTTATTTTTATTTTAGCACGATGGGAATAATTGATAATACCGGTATTGAAAAAACTAAATGGCAAGTTAAAGCATTCGAGGTCATGAAAAAGTTCGGAACAAATAAAGAAAATTAAAAGGGAGCGGCTCACAAGTCTAAATGAGATCGCAAAATTATGAAGCCCCTCCAGTATAAAATAAAATCAGAAGATTTATCGTCTGGCAAACAAAAAATCAGACGGAATTTCTGTTGATAACCCAGAACACGTTCTTGTAGATCTCTTCCTGTCCCGTGTACTTAGTTCTGACAATCATCATTCGTGGAATCCTCTTTCCGCGCTGACTGTTTTTGATTCCATGGCCAATAACTCTCGGAACAAAGTTAGTGGTGACCAGCATATTCGTCTTCTCGTCAAATTCCGTTGGCACACGGACCTCGCATTCAACCTAGACCAAATTTAGATACAAATTTTTTACAATATGATTCGGATACAAGGAGTGAAGCTTACAGTAACCGAGTTCTTCATTCTTGATGGCGTAACAGGGTATTTTTTCTCTTTGCTGACCTTTAGAAATTCTGCGCTAAGCACTCTTCTTCTGAAAGAAAAATAATGCAATATTGACCAATGACTTCGCCCATATGCTCAACATTTATATTATCCGTTCTTACTTGGAGTCGTGAACAACTTTAAAGTCGACCCAATTCCCCAGCACGAGGTTTTCAGAAACATTGATCAGCGACATTTCATTTGGAAGCTCCGGGCAATAAATGTAGAACATTCTTTGATTGGAATCCACAGAGACCACCAGGCCACAAAGAACTTGATTTTGTCGGATATGCTCACAATCCATGATTGGAGGAGGTAATAGAATGACAGTTTGAGGTGGAAGAGAACTGACCAGTTTCACCTTCTTCTTTGTCACCACATCCCATCCATTCTTTGTTGTTGGAGGAGTAGCTAAAAATGAGAATACACAACCCTAATGAGCTGACCTACATTTGTTGCTTGAATTAAGACCTGGGAACTCGTTGTCATATTTCTTGTGCAAATCAATGTTGTTAATCTTTTTCGTATTCTCGTCGTTCTCTGGATTATTCAGACTCTTCAGCCTTTTCTCCACATAACTTTCTCCCTCTTGATTGACTGCTAAACTATGATGTGTATCAGGGTTCACATAAACGGCGAATCGGCCAGGGTCCTTTGTAGTTTCTATGGCAGTGTATATTTTTTTCGTGGGTTTAATGCGGATTGGGCTGAAATAACATTAGGCTGAGGATCATTATTTCAAGAAAATGTTTTAAAAAATGAGAACCTACAGCAACAGCGCCTTGACCTTGCAACCCATGTAAAGCCCGCTCGATTTAACGTAGGCCAATGCCTTCGCAGGCATTGAAGAATGAGTTGCCGTTGCTACACCTCTCCCATCATACTCTTCTATCCGTAATTCAACGTAATCCATCATGTTTACATAATGGTGATCGCAAATTTCCTACACAAGAAAATCCAAAAAATATATCTGCTCACCTCTATCCTTGTAATCCCGTTCTTATGAGTAATAAAATGACAGCTGTCAACCGCTCTTATACATTGGAACAGTCTCGTACTCGAAGACATACTGAAAAAAAAACGATCAAACAACGAAAAAATATTATAAAAAATGATAAACATAACATACTATACAGCCTTTACATCATATATGACTCCAGGCACCAGCCTACACTCAAATCCTACAGCTACTCGACCAACAATCGGGGAGAATAAATAGTTATCGACGTCGCCTTCAATCTCCGGAAACAGCTGACTAGGAGCAATGCAAATTGCCGGCGTTTCAATCTGAAATAATCCAAAATTTACAATCCTCCAAAATAAAAAAAGGAAAGTAATGCCCGTTGGGTTTAAGACAGCTATCTCACAGAAAATCGCAAATTTTGATATTCACCTTCACATCGACATCTAAAAACAAGAAAAACAATATAAAGTCTTACTTCTATTCTGGTCTTGCCGTAAACTTCGAACACCACGGTCTTCACCGGTACGACCATTCGTTCAAAGCTTCCATTATACAAAAACCAGTCTCCTACTTGTGCCACAATGTTTTTATATTCGATTTCCTGACACGACTGACAGTGGAATACTATCATTCGTTTGGCTTCGGTGTCGGAAGCCACAACTATGACAAGTTCTCTTAGGAGTACCGGTTTCGCAGCCATCTAAGCAGTTTAAATCTGAAAATATTAGAATAGGTAATAAGAAGGCCAAGTTCCGTGAAAACATAATAATAACGTAAAAAAATTGTTGCAAACATGATCTAAAATCCAAAACTACTCTTGGAAGACAGCAAGCAAAACATTCAATTCTTTCTGACAAAAATCACCGACCGAAAACATAGAATCCGACTCGAAAAAGGCGAACGTGGTCTCGGAAACAACTTGAATAGCAATAAATTCACAAATTCTCTAATCCAAATGGATATAGCGAATTTTTGTCGCAGCGGACATAAACGGCCGTCAGAACGGCCTCCTGAAAGCCGCTTGCTTCTCCTTATCACTAAAATTTTCCTTTCGACCAATTTCTTTTACGCGCGAGTTGCGCCCATGCTAGGAAGATAATCTGCAAGCTGCTTAAAATATTAATTGGAAAAAAGACGGTGCAAATTGACAAGGGAAGTACTTGAAGTGTGACGCTCAGATTTTGATGAAACTTGGCACAAATTTAGAATAATTTTTTCTAAGATATATGCGGGAATCCTAGCTCGCGCTTTGCAGAAACAACCGAGATTTTTAGATCGAAAGTCGGCGAAAATTTGGGACTTTTTGCCGAATTTCGGCACGAAAAGTTTCATGCCTATTTCAACCGTAAAGAATAATGTTTCTACAAAAAATAAAATTTTTCCGCACGAAACTGCCAAAGTTATGGCCAAAAAGCGGTTTTCTCTCTGACCGCTCTCCACGTTGAGCGTGCTCTCTCGGCGGCAAAAATCGTTCAATATCTCGGCGGCGCCCGCAAAGCGCGAGCTAAAACTTTCAGGAATTGATATTTAGTCCATACCCGATGTGTGTGCAAAATTTAAAGAAAATCTGAGCGTCACACTTGAAGTACTTCCCCTGTGAGTATAATGCATTTGTATGTGTGTATAAAACCTTTGTCCTGTTTATTAGTGGATCAGACTTTACGACGTACAAAGGAGAGAATTTTATTCATTGATCGTTTTGATTTCCGGGAGATGTTCGAGATTCAAGGCCTAAAAACGGCCAAGAAAATTTGAGAACAGCATTCAGGTGGAGCAATTTTTCAACAAATCACACGTATTTCATCATTATCATGAGATCTACATCCAAATACGATTTCTTTGGACGTTTGCAGAAATTTGTTAGCTTACACTAGCCGTTACTTTCGCTATCAACTCAGAAAAGAAGTGTATGTTTGCCTTGAGTTTCGTAAAAATGGCCTTATCCGGCGTCATAAACTCGAGTAAGAGTAAGATAAGTCAACGGGAATGTCTTTGTTGGTTATTAGCAATATGATTTGGAGTTAAATAAATCGTGATACATGTTGGTGAACCTACTACTTTCTTTACCGTATTCTGGTATCATTTATCTGTCTCTAAATGCATAGTTAATTCGTTGTTTTGGGATGATTGTAAGGATGCAACTGTTTGTGTTTTCGCCATTTTTTGTGTATAACCTCAAGGTTGTGTATTCATGGTGTATTCGCAAAGCTGCCTTCGAATAGTGGGACATTCATGAACTTTTAGCCGATGTATGCACCTTTCCACTAATTGTAAGCTCCAATCGTCCGCCGAGAAAACACTCTTCTGTGAATCTATTCATTTTCGTCTCACCCAACCTATAATTAAGTTTTGTTGGTCATGAATGTAAGTGTCAGCAGGTAAGAAAAGTAATCTTCCTGCTTGAACACAACCTATGGGGCAAAAATCCTACCATACACCTTCTCTCTCTCCGCCTAAAACCTGTGAAACCTTAGAGAAAGGAAATTCTATAATGGGAAACGAGGCCCATAAAGAGTCGCGCAATTGCGAGTGGAATTGGAGCTAGTCCCTCTGTCGAGTATGAGCGCACAAGCCGACCGAAACCAAAGCCCAAGAGATCGCTTGTTCCCTAAGACGGCAAGAGAGACGAAGCGACCCGAAAGACATAACGAGGGAATACGGCAAATGATGAGACTTTAATAACGCACGGGATGGCGAGTCACACGCGAGTCAAGAAGATTTATGAGAACACACGCTTATAAAGAGATTGCTTTTTTAAAGAGAGTGCAAATACTCAGAGGGAACGAGTGAAATACGAAGTTAGTGAAAGCAGCAAAAACTTGCTAGATGAGGACTTATGCCCGCCGGTTGCATAGACCCTGTGGAAAAAGAGCAAAACGGTTGAGTGAACGTATAGGAGCGTAGTAACCCGACAGCAAAAACACCACGAGAGGGAGAGAGAGAGAGCACTCTCCAAGTTTCACATGAAGAGGCCACGAGTGAGTCTTATTCGCAATTCCGGTAGGAAACACTAGAAGCACCCACCAGACATCTGGAGGAAAACGCCGAACTTGAGAGAAGAAACGTCTTCGTGCCCGGCAACAGCCCCACAGCAATGTCCAGCTGGGAATGTGCGCTCAGCTCTAACACTTTCTTTGAGAACCCGTCCGTCCCCCTCGCCGTGCCTCGTTATTCAACTGAATCGCACTCTTTTTTTGTGCCCCACCCTCTCTTTTTCGCTTCGATCGCTCGCTTTACGACCAAGATCCTTGTTTCTTGTCTCCAAAGCTTGGGTCTTTTCATCCTAAAAATCTGTGATGTTTTTTTAAACTCGAGGATTTTTGTCGATATCAGCTTGCCGGTAATGAAGTAAAACTACTAACGATTCTGCATTCTTTTATTTCTTTGAAATATCGGATTTAATTAATGTTTCTTACGTATTTTATTTATTAAACTTCGTTGTTCTTTGTGTGCGCTCTTGGCGTTTTTATCATAATTTCGTGATTGCATTACTACGGCAGGATTACAAAGAGCTCCGGTCAAAAAGAGATAAATTCAGATTCAAGCAGGGATGCCCGACTTCCCACATGGAACGCTCCATTTGAGGCGAGTCTTCGACTCACGGAACTCACCAATAAATAACAAATCAGAGTCAAAATGCCAATTGATTTTGTAAGCCAGTAATCGATTATGTCATATCTCCATTTAGACTCGCTGTAAACACATTACTTGGCCGTCAGGTCGGCAGGAACCATGTCGTACTGCATTGCTCGCACCCTAAACAACCGTAGGTTTACCAAAATCTTTGACGAAGGTTATTATGTTCACTAAAGCGCATGATAAACCAGAAGTAATTAATTAACCTTTTAGGGGATTCATCCGGAATCGACATGCGTTTATCCGCGCCAAATTGGACAACACAGGGTCTAAAGTTCTCTACTACGAAATTTGCCCTTTCCCGTTGTGCGACGTCCGAGTAAACAACCAATTAATTGTAAGTTACAAAACTGGCAAACTCTGGATTGCCTAAACTCAAGAAACAAATTTATCAAAGGGCTTACTCAAGAGGTATAATGATCGGAAGTCGGTTTCTAAAGTTAACAAAGGGAATAAAATGGGTAGGGTATGCGATGAGGCGTAAAGATATCTAAAAAAGACGATATAAGAGGTCCCGCGCATTCGCTTACAACTAATTGATACTGCGGTAATCACGATTTCTGAACGACCAAAAAGGAGTTAGGCATCTCCAAATCCGGAGGAACGGCTGATGCGTACACAACCAACAACACATTGCAAGCAATCGAATGACTAAACAATTATACTCTCCAAAATTTTCCTAGCGTCCCACAGTTTCGCTTCAAAAACGCCCAGCCAAATGCCAGACTACAGCAAGTTAAAAGCGCAGCCACCCGGCCTTGTTATAGCAACGCCGCAGCGCCTCTGCAAAAAGAGTGCAGTCCGTTCCAAAAGAACCCGTTCAGGGTGCCTTGTAAAATGAGTAACAAAGCGCGCCAGTGCCGATCAGCGGCAAGTCTCATTCAGGGCGTCTTTTTCCTCTATATAAAAAAGCGCTTTACCCCTTCTTCCAATCATGGGGTACTATGTGGGCTAAGTTGACCAAACGGTACCTTTTTGGACTCGGGGAATCCCATTTATCGGACATTCGATTCCTATGGAGCGATTCAAAGCTTCTAAATTCCAAAATATCGTGCTACTCGGGTATCCTAATGTTTTTACGTTGCCATACCGCCAATTACAATGAACACGAAAATTCGCGTTGAATGCCGAAAAAATACAGCGAACACGCTGATTTATTTTCTTCAAAAACTGCAGCGAACACAACGTAAGAATTTTCAGAGAAAGTCTTGACCCATCGGAGTGTTTCTTGACCCAAAATTAGCGCGCTTTTTCACGCCTTTTTCTGAATTCTGGGATATTGTTCGTTGTCGGTCGTTCAAAGTTTTTGGGAAGGACGTTTTACCTTTAGATTTGCAGGGAAGTGTTTGCTTTTTTTTGTATCCCAGGTCTTGTAGTGTTATACCTTTTCTGAAAAATTTTCCTTCCTTTGCTCCATTTTCATTCGTTTCCATTGCGTTTTTCAGATGTGAGAATCTTGAAAATAACCTTTCTTTATTTCAGGATCGATTCACACGGATAAATATAAATGATTTGATTAGCTTAGGAAATGGGTTTGGTCATAACCATTGTTGCTATCACTTTAGAGTAAGTTTTAATTTTTTTACTTAATTTTTGTACGTTTCCTAATGAACGGAAGATGAAATATGATTTCTATTCTGTTTTCAGATAGAGCGGGCCGATTCCCGCTTGCCGTACCCGTTAATTCGGGCCAATCTCACCAAAACCCCACGTGAAATGCGTGGATTGCATATCTACGAAGGCTGTTTCGAACATCGCGCTGGGGATCTTAACCACCTATACGCTTCCGAAAAGCTGCTTCTTACAGCGAACAGGCTATTTTGTGAAATGTCGAGGAACGACGAGAATCTAGCTCCAAGTCAATGCCCATTGACCGCTGGTGGTCATTTTCGGCCGCCTCCAGACCCCGTTACCCCCATTGGGTTAATGCCTTCTCAACAAATGTTAGTGGACGAGTTGGTGAACCAATTGATGCAGCAACATCAAATTCAACAACATATTATTCCAGCTGTCAACCAAATGAATACCGCACAGATTGCTGTGGTCAGGGAATACATCAAAAGTCAACAATTGAGGCGATTATTACTACAAGTACCCCAATTAGCAATTGGCGGGCTTGGAAGGAATTCACCTCTTCTAGCTGGAACCGTTGGAATGCAAGGTAAGGTTGAATTTTACGTCTTGAACTTTTCTGTGTTTAGATTCACACTCTTTACCAAACTTTAACCCGGAGACCCGCAAAATTCCCAGTTTTACTCCCCCAAGTCAACTGCCAATGCTATTTGTTGATCAGATAGTACCTGCCGAGACTGCTCAATCATTTATGAATTCCGCCCCATACATGGCCACAGCTTCTACATCTTCTCAGCCTATTCTGTCTGAAACACGACTGGATTCTTCAAACATTTCGAGTACTATGGGAGCACAATATGTCAGGTCGAGAGAAAACGACGACAGTGATGAGTCGAGGGTAATGCCGAAACATCGAGTGGATCACGAAGGAAAAGACGACGATAATAACAATGAAGATGAGAATTCACACGAAGAAGAGCACCCCGGCCCCTCGATGACACACGTGAGGTTTTGCTTGACATGTTTTATTTGAATTTCTTGTAATTTTGACTATTCTTCCTTTTTAGGATAACAGAGAACGAATGAAGGCACCAACTATATTGACTTCTGAATGCCAGAAGCTTCCTCAAGGATCGGAAACTAACCCGCTGGATTTGTCTTTCAATTCCGAAGTTCTTTCGGAGATCAGCGTGGATTTGGTATTTTCTAAAGTAAGCTTGTATTGTTTCCTTTGATATTCTCTTGGTTTTTAGGACAATTTCTCTGAAAGTCCGGCTATGCTGTTGTCGCCATCGTCGTCTTCCGAGCATGCATCTTTTGAATGCTCTTTCTCGAAGCCAGCATCTGTGTTTCGAAGTCATCCGAAGGCTTCACATTCTATGGAGTACGAAGAAGATGAAGAGCCTTTAACAAAACCATCAATTGAACAAGAACGGCGAAGAATGAAGAAATATATTACTAACAACTTCTACTTCCATCTGTACAAAGAATCTAAAAAGTGGAAATCGCGTCAAAACAAGGCCGATTCCGACGATGAATGGATAAGGTACGCTGGATTGACTGTGGATAGATGTACAAAAGACTCTTTGTATAAAGAAGACGAAATCAAGAGGGAGGAAGAGGAATCTGAAGGCGTTATAAATCGGCCGAAGCCTTTCATCGATGTAAACGAGGGCCAGTACGAGAAGCAACAAGCCCAAGAGTTGAGGAAAAAGCTGTTGGAAGAGAGTGAGTTGAGGAAAACATATCCTTCGCTGCAGTACCCGGATATTCCGAATGGTAACTTATTTTATCGAAAAATATTTTCCTAATTTTAGTGACTGATGACGAAGCGGAGACGAAGCTACTAGCAACACTTCTGATTTCTCTGAAACCCGATGATGCCGATAATGGGTCGATCTGCACGACCGAAATTAGCGAGGATCAGATCAGTCTTCTGGGACCCGAGGAGGCTCAACAACGGCCGGCAATAGAAACAGACGATTTTTCTACTTGGACGCGATCAGAAGACTTGAAGTTTAAAAAGATTGACAAGCAAACATTTGTTTTCCCCGGAACCAGCAGACAGATTGCATCAAAATACAGAAGGCTCTTCAGAGCTGAGGTGGACTGCACAAGTACAGAAAACATGCTCATCCAAAGGAATCGACTCCGAAAAAAACATGAAGCAGACCAGCAAAAGATGGAAGAGCTTAACAAAAAGAAATACAAGCTAAAAAAGACCCCAGTTTCTACGAGCTCTGCAAGACGAGGCCGGCAACCTGGGAAAAAGGTTTCCGGAGCTGATGTAAGTTCCTTTTAACGTATCAATGTGTTTTTGTTATGTTAGAGTCTGGTTTACATTTGCTTTTTAGGCCTCGACTCTTACTCCATCGACTCCTCTTGCTCCCCCTTCGAGCAGATCTTACAAACGCCCGTCTTTGACTCATTCGAAGCCCAAGTTGCTCCAGAAATCCGTATCTACTCCGTGTTCGATCTCACAACCGCAATCTCATTTACACTCGAAGACGTCTGTCCCATCCACATCTACAGCGAAATCTTTAGAACCGCAGAAACCGGCAACTGCATTTCTCAGGGAAGCTCCCGGCGCCGAATTCATGATGAGACCAGCCGTAATTCTTAACGCAAAGTACAATGATGAAGATGTGGACGTAAACAGGATTGTGCAGAGCATTCAAAGTGCTGTCGGCCAACTCGAATCCACCTCGAATACACCGCAGGAAAGAGTAAAACGGAAGGTAGGGTTGATGTTTTTTTAGTTTTGAATTGACTTTTAGTACACCAAACGAAAACATAAAGAATCAAAATCTGGCTCAGATGCGGTTCCCAAGAAGCACAAGAAGCGAGGACGTAAGTTGATGAATTGTGATTGAATATCGGAAATTGTTTTAGCCAAGCCTCGGAAGGACTCGCTCAATAGTAGCGCCAGTTATTTTGGACGCAAACCGTCGAAGAAACAGATAGCGGCCGAAACCCAGAAGCGATTAGAAATTGATCTGGGACTGGTCGACGAGAAAGACTTCTTCTCTTCTTCGGACGGGAGCTTTATTCTTCCGGCAAATGAGATTGAAGAACCATGCGCTCTTCAGGTAGGTTAAATATAAATACGATGAAGTTCTCTCCCTTTAGGCATGCCGAATACACGTCGTTCTCAGAGAAGCCGAACGGAGCGCCATCGAATGGGTCCAATGTGATGTCTGCGACAAGTGGTTCCACTGTATATGCGCTCTTCAAACAAATCGACCGGTTGGAAAACGAGAAGTCTTTAGATGCCGTCAAGCAGATTGCCCTTCGAGCTCCGCTGACTTTGAAGAAGCTGCGTTATGACAGACGTCAATTGTTTTACTGTTCAAGTTTGATTTTCTTATAATAACACAATTCCTTTATCAACTCGCTTATTGTTCTATCAGTCTGTCGGAAAAATAACGGCGGATCGTCGCAGCAAAATGTCTCGCCTCGCCGCTATCGCGCACCAAATTCCAAGCCGCGGCTTGCAGTCGCAAAACGATGACGAGCGACTCCGAGGCGCGACGATCCGCCGTTTTTTTTCCCGACAGACCGATAGAAAATTTAGGTTTTTATATTAGATTTATTCGAGTATTGCAAAAAATTAAGGAAATGAGAAAAAACGACAAAAAATATACTGGATATAAGAACCCAGCGAAGGATAGCGGGATGTTAACACACATGATGATCAGGAAAGTTTTTATAACCTAGTTTTAGTAGTAAACGTAATAGTTCGCAGCCTTGCCAACGGTATCCTTCGTTTGAAGACGATACGACTGGGAGCGGTGTTTGTTATATTCATTTCGGATTCTTTTACACTTCGTTTCCCGACTAGTCCACCGTATCCAAGGCCTCCTACTCCTCCACAGCACAAGGGCATCCCAAGGCCTAACCCTGAAAACTCTGAACTTTATCGTAACACAAAGAATTTTGATGCCATCAGAAATACTTGAAATGTCACTTACCGCCTCCGTAACCCCCAAACCCACCAAGTCCAAATGGAGAATATAGGCCAGGGAATCCTAAACCCAGGCCACCAAAGCCGCCGCCAAAGCCCCCGCCGAAACCTCCGAATGGCAATCCGCATCCCAGTCCACCCATTCCCATCCCGAGACCACAAGTGCCTCCAAGGCAACTTAGCGAAGGATTGGCCAGCAGAGTCAAGCCGAGTATGACCAATAAAAAGTTCATATTTGGAACGGCTAGACAAATAGAATTCACTGTAGTTCGTTTATAATATCAGACAACTAGAAATACACAGAAAATTATACTATTAATGGGTTTCTTCAAAAGAATTGTTGTCCAAGCCGACGTTTCCCAAAAAAGAAAACTCAATACCAAATTTCCGCTACCCAGTGCAAAACACTTGACGCGCAGTATCCATGAAAAACTCCTTCGTGTGTTTTGCAGCCATCTGAAGAGTGTATTGCGCAAAGCGGTTATTTTTACATGGAGTTTGAGGGACGATCAAAATGAAAATAAAGATACAGTGGAAACTTGGAATTTCGCGTGTAGGATCGCAAAGGCTCCTAAAAACAACATTAATAAGCATCTGACAAACATCTGGCTTAACACGTTTTCAAAGCTCGATTATTCCGCGTTGCGGTCATCAGGGCGGTCAGGCCATCAGGAACGCCGAAATTCACAGCATTTTGAAGGGATAACATGTTGCCGTAACGTCACGATTTACAATGGTCGACGAACGGCCGCGAGCGTCTACAGTCCCTTCGGAGTTCTCGGAGTAAATGTTGTAATTTCTGATCAACATAAATAAAAAGCTTTATGTAAATACTTGAAGCTACTTTGCGGTAGCAAATCCAAGAATCAGGTCTTTAAAGCGATGGATCAGGCAGAACTGTCGCAAAAATGGCTGGCCAAGGGTCCACATTTTCTTGCTGGTAGGTCGCAAGACAAGTAGGCAAACTGGTTTTGTACGACTGTTGATCAGAATTTGGCTGGAAGGAACTTTATGTTCTTTACCTCCAATATTGAAAGACAGTGAGAAGGACGTGTTACAAGGCAGATACACAGTTCTGTGTTTTGAATTAAAGTTTAACGTTCTTGCCATCAATTCATAAGCGTCCTGTGGAGCCTTAATCACTGAACTACCAGAGTCCGTGAATCCATTGCCTACAGTGAGGTCGACTGTCTTTCCTTGACTTGTAACTAAAAGCTAATGACTATTGTCGATGACATTTAGACAACGTGTTAGATTAACGGGCCGCAAGTTTTTGGAGCCACCCGATAATTCAAAAGTTTTAACTCACACTTAACACTTTCAACGCCAACAACCCATTTCCCGTCGGCCAATGTGGGAACATATATCGCATCTTTGGCGCAATTCTCGTCATCGAGTCCTCCTAGTGTTAAGTAACCATATCCCTGAATAATATCGTAGCTCTTCTTCAGAAAGGTTGTGAAAACTGGTTCGTCCAAAACTTTGATAAGCTCTTCTAAAAGATTACTTCCAACTTGTCTTGAACCTCTTGGTGCCATTCCAAGAATACCCGTCTTGAAACGACCATTTAAAACGTCGGCGACACCAAAATCAATTGGGTCAACAAGAGGAAGTTCCTCGTCTCCCCCATGAAACTTCAATCGCTTTTTTACTTCAATCGCTTTTTTATAAGAGCAGCATAAACTTACAGATACTTTGTCCCGATAAAGTGCGCCACTAACATCACCAGACCCATAATGCTTGGTAAACTTCTCGCCTAACGGGGTCGACGTTGAAGAATTTGATGGATTGTAGGTAGGTAAGGTGAATCTAAAAAAATTTTCGTACGTTTTTATCTGAGACAACAATTACTTTGTTCCGTTTGGGAATACAGCCCCAGCTGCCGGAGTCCAAAGAGTCGCAGATCCGGTGTCAAAGCTTACGAGAACATCTTGCCTTGGCGTCCCTATGCCTAAATGGGCATAATATGCACGATCGTCTTCTCCATCAAGTCGCTCAACTGTTCCGCTAAGTTGCAAAAATCTGGGATCTAACAACAACTGTTTGAACTCAATTTATTCTTACCGTGTCTTTTTCCTTCCTGAAGCCGAATTTTTAGTTTTCGGCCGTTTGTTCTAACAGTGGCAATAGCAGCCAAAAGAAGTATAGCTAACACCTCCATTTGTAATACAAGTTCAATTACTAGATATCTTGGCCAAATGTATTCCTTTTGGCTTGAAAATAAAATAAAAATTCATTACAGCTAACTGCTTCAAATAAATTTATATTACATTTCAGTCACATTTGAATTGTCGTATAAATTATGCGTCACCGCTACCTTATTTTTAAATTTATTATGTTTGTAGGTAATATCAAACAGATACATTAAAGTGATAAAGTAGCGCTATGTATACAGTAAGTATTTACTCGTGACAGCAACTTTTGAAGCTTTCTCTTGCGCAACATTTAAAACATTGGGATCGCCTTCACGGCGTTTTCAGCATCTAACTTAGCGGATAAATTTGTTGTTCTTTATGCCATTACATTTTATGCTGAAGGAATGCAGTTTTTTTAGAGACACAATTAAACATATCTATGTAGAATATAATAACTTCAAATAACCAAAGGATATCTGTGTTTGAAATTATTTAGCGGTCGAAAATCCGAGATTTAAATCTTTGACGTTGTGGATCAGACAGAATTGTCGCATAAACGGCTGGCCAAGAATCCATTTCTCGTTTTTATGCTTTTGTAAGGCCAGGGCACAACTAGGTTTTTTCAGACTTTTGATCAGAATTTGGCTGGAAGGAACTTGATGTTCTTTACCATTGATCGAAAATGTGAGAGTGAAGGCAGTATCGCAGGGTAGATATACACGTGATTCCGTAAGCTTAAAGTTCAGCATTTTTGCAATCTTTTTGTAGGCGTCATGAGGAGCCTTGATCGTCGAACAGCCAGAGTCGGTTACCGCAACGCTTGCTTTGAAAACAGTAGGTTTTTTTCCCTTAACGTCCACTGCACTCTAATAAAGTATGAGTTTTTAAGCTTACATCTTGTGGAGTCCAATGCTACCGCCCATTTTCCTTTTTGTACTACTTTGGCGTATATGGCGTCGTTTGCGCAATTATCTTTGTCCAATCCTCCAAGCGTAATATAGCCATACCCCTGATTGCTTCCACTGCTTTTCTTCAAAAAGGTTGTAAAAATTGGTTTGTCCAAAACTTTAATCAGCTCTTGCCCTATATTGCTACCAATTTGTTTTGAAGGCGGTGGCGCCATTCCAATAATACCCGTTTTGAAAGGACCGTCTAAACGGTATGCACATCCGAACACAACTGGGTCGGCAAGGGAAAGTGCCTCACCTCCGCCACTAAACTGAAATCAACGATTACTCATAATTATACGCACAGACCGATATTTTGTCCCTATAAAGTTTGCCACTAACAGTAGCGGTTCCATAGCTCTTTGTAAAGTTCTCTTCTAAACAAGTCGCAGTTGATGAATCCAATGGAAGGTAGGTTGGCAATGAGTATCTGAAAACGGATTATTACGCTTGGATCTCGGAAAAGCGTTCTTACATCGTGCCGTTCTTAAATTCGGCCTTCGGCGCCGGAGTCCACAGAGTCGAAGATCCGGTGTCAAAATTTACGGTCACGTTTTGTGCCGGGGTCCCCATAAGTAAATGTGCATAATATGAGACATCATTCTCGCCGTCAAGTTTCTCAACAGTTTGGCTGAGTTTGAAAAACCTATGATCTAAAGACAGGGTTTGGGGAAAATTTATTCTAACCACCTTTTTTGCCTTCTTCAAGCCTAATTTTTAGCATGCGGCCATTTATCACCACAGTAGTGATTGCAATTGCAACAAGTCGACTTAACACTTTCATTTAAACTTTTGAACAGTTTCAAAGATTAGCACAAAGGTCCAACAACTGCTTATACCGCATTATTTAAAAATTTATATATGCTCGATTTTAATTAACCGCCGAAGATTGAATATATAATATTATGCGTTTCGCATCTTTATTTGTAATTTGATTTTCAACAACTTCAAAAACAATTAGCTTCGATTAGAAAACGAAACTGTTTATTAATTATAGGTAACCCATCGTGTAAATGACTTTGGATATTTGAAAGTGTAACGCCTAAAGTGGCCGTCGTTTCGGTATTTGAACGTAAATTGCCGATTTCCATTGTCATCGCTACCATTGAATTTCCAAGTGACTCGTCGAAAACTTCCTGCACCGTTGTTGTCTTGGCCTCGTCCGCCGTATTTGGAGCGTCCTTCGCCACGGCTTCCACTTCCTTCTTCATATTTGTAGCCTTCACCAAATCCATCTCCCCTTCCATCACCTCCCTTTCTGTTTTTTCCAAGTCCGGATCCTCCTTTACCATAGCTTCCACCCTTCTTTCCGTTACGTTTGTAGCTTCCTTTACCGTAACTTCCACTTCCTTGTTCATATTCATAGCCTTCACCAAATCCGTACCTATCTTCCCTTCCATCACCTCCCTTTCTTCTTTTTCCAAGTCCTGAGCCTCCTTTACCATAGCTTCCACCTTTCTTTCCGTTACGTTTGTAGCCTCCTTTACCGTAACTTCCACTTCCTTCTTCATATTCGTAGCCTTCACCATATCCATACCCATCTCCCTTTCCATCACCTCCCTTTCTTCTTTTTCCAAGTCCTGAGCCTCCTTTACCATAGCTTCCACCCTTCTTTCCGTTACGTTTGTAGCCTCCTTTACCGTAACTTCCACTTCCTTCTTCATATTCGTAGCCTTCGCCATACCCATAGTCATTCTTCTTTTCTTTCTTATCTTTTTCTCTCAGACCTTGCCCGTTTCTTCTTCCACCTTTCTTTTTATTATCTTTGCGGTCTCCATCTCCGTAGTCGTAATCATTGGCGTATTCATACTCGTCATTTTTTCTTCCATTTTTCCGGTTCTTTCCACGATCAAACCTCCCTTCTCCATGTCTACCATCTTTGTTTCTACCTTTATCGTCCATTCCACTGCCTTCTTCGTACTCGTATTCGTAACCTTCACCATATTCGTACTCTTCATGACCGTCTTTCTTTGCATCCCCATTCTTTCTTTCTCCATATCCTTTGCTTGTAACCCGACGATCTATCCCTTTACGTGTGGAGCCGATCTTTATTTTTTCCTCTGCCTTTTTTGTAACGCCGTGTTTACTTTCATTTTTTGTAAAGCCTCGCTGTTTTCGTTCCTTTTCGGCACCTTTCGTAACGGTTTTCTTGCTTCCTTCGTGGGCAGTCTTCACGCCTGAAAATCCGATTCTTCGTTGCTTAAAATCGTGGACAAGGCAGTATTCCCTTGCAAATGGGTGGCCGAATGTCCAATGCTTATCATTTGTGGGTTTCAGTGCAATCCAGCAATCATTCCGCTTCTGTTTTGATTTCAGGAGTTCGGTCCAGGAGACGAAGTAGTTTCTCTTGTCAATGTGAAACGAGAAATTGAACGCGGTATTACACGGAAGAAAGATCTTTCTTGTCGTTTTATGTGTTTCTATTCCAAGAGCCTTTGCGACTTGTTGATAAATTTGTTTGGGCGCTCTGATTTCAGCCGAGCCAGTGTCGGTGTGGACATCATGAGCTCCAAAGTTCAGTGTTTTACCACCATAAGTGACTACAAAATATCATTGAGTTATTTTTCATTTAAGAAATTCCAATGAGCTTACATTGAGCCGACTCCATGTGAACTCCCCACTTTGAACCTTTTATGGCTTTCACATAATGAACATCTTTTTCACAGTGTTCGGTATCCACATTACCTAGTGTAATTACCCCACTGCCTCTGTTGTGGTCAATGCTTTTCCGCAGATGCGTGGTGAATATCGGTTTTCCAAACACTCCTTCTTGTATGGCTTGTTGCATGACATTGCTGCCACTGGAGTGTGGTCCCTGTTCCGGCGCCAGTCCAATCATGCCAACGGGCGTTCCCTTAAAAACGTTGCCTGCTCCGAACTCCACCTTTCCCTTTAGCCTTATCAGTGTACCGCCTCTCGTCACAAACTAAATTTATAAAGAGTTCGTTTTCGACTTGTGCAAGAATAAATTATAAAACTATAATAACATACCGCAAATTTATCTTTGTAAAGAGTTCCGTTAACATAAGCGCTGTCGTATCTTAATGAGAAGTATTTTTGCAACGTTTCCTTTGTTTTGGATAAAGACGCATCGTATTGCGGTGTAGGACATCTAAACATTTTTAAAATCCAAATGAAAACACGAAGTCTTTCATTAATGTAACTACGGTTATTTAAAACATTGCAACGCTCTTACTTTTTTCTCCGTAAACGAACACAATTTTTCTCGGGGACCCAGAAAGCCGATGTTCCGGTGTCAAACATGACGTTGAAGTACTGTGGTGGTTCTCCGATCGCAACCTTTCCAATATACCGAGTGTCGCAAATGGCTTTTAAATCTTCTTCCACGGCGTTTGTCTCCAAACCATGATCATCTATGAGGCGTAACAAAGATGAGAAAAAAAAGTTTTACCTTCTTCTTCCTCCTTAAGTGCAATTCTTACATGGCTCGCCCAAGCATCTTGCACGCAGAGTAAAAACAACACTTGTAAAATCACCAACGTCCTCATTTTAATAATGTTCAGCGGACCCTCATAAACACTTTTATAAGGTTTCCCAATTTGAGCTGGGCAAATAATTCTCCTACAACACATAACATTATGGTTGAAAATGACGCTACAACATCTACTAAAAATATGGACGAGTTTTTGGCCTTTTTGAAAGTTGTATATTTAGCGTTCAGAGTCCAGGTCATCAATTCGTTTGGCAAACAACGTTTGTGATTGACATATATGTAGTCTAAGAACGGAATGCGGGACATCTAGTTGGACTTTTACTCTTGTTTATATAGAAATTCAAATTTTCCTCCCAATTTCCAACCATGAATAACTTTAGTATCACCTTTCAGTCATTGAATAATGGCAATGGTCATTTTGTACGCCTCTGTCAAGAAACATATCAAACAGAGCTTTACGTAAAACTGCTCATGGTCAACCTTTAGCATTGCCCGAATGCCCATTGTTTTCTGGGTTGAAAAGTCTTTTGTGTTCGCGGGATCCATGAAATTGCGATCGCCAATGGCCGGCCATTCTGACTCATCATTGATTCCACTATTGTGCTCGGAGTCCTTATAAAGGATCTTCACACAAAGTTGAGCGAAGATGCGGTGGCTTCGGGTTCTGATATGGGTGGCCTGCACTGTCGGATTGGTTTCAGCATTTACTGTGGGCAACCAGGCCGAAGGCATGGAAAAAGTTGTGGAATTGGCAGGAGGACATCATGGAAAAGATAATGCAAATAGTAAGTTTATATCTTTGAGCCTTGTTAAAATTTCAATTTCAAACGTAGCGTCCAGGAAACCACTTAAAAGCCTTTTTAGACTCAACGGTAGAAGCGGTTGCCATCTTCAAACACGCTTTTCAATTCTTTCGGAACATGCTAACAAAAACATCTACCGCCATTACAACATTTGGAAATCAGTCAGAAGATAGTTATCCCGTAGGACCTCCAATATTCAAAAATATTGTACATAACACTAACAATAAAGGAAAGGTGAATCAAACCAGTGCACACGGCCATATTGACGAACTCTTGGAAAGAATGAGTTCGGGAGAAAGAAAAAACGCTATCGATATTGCGGAAGAGAACAACAACACTGCCACCATAAATTTAACGACCCGCGGAGATGCCAATCAAACCGAAATTGTGGATTCAATTGAAGAATCGGTGGCGCACGCAACTACAAAAGTTTTGCCCTTCTCAGGGTTAACGTCTAGTAAGCATAAAGGCCTAGCGGAGGTTACAACGGGTGCGGCTCAAAACGGCCATACGTCCCGTCACACAACTACAACTTCTCAAAATTTGCGTGTGTCTCAAGATATCTTGAGTGATCACAATAAAACTGACGCCACATCACCCACGCTTAAGATAGAAGCAGATTCTCGGGCTCACGCTACAACTAAGGTTTTGATGCCTGAAGTTGACGAGTTCCGTAGTGATGATAATCGAACTAAGGACGAAATTACTGCTGAGACGACTATTTCCCCAGAAAAACACAGACTTGCTAACCCAACAACAAAAATTCTGGGGGATCGTGATATTACTGGCCTTTCAGGACTACGATTTGATCCCGAAATCGAGAGGGAACTCAAAAATGATGAAGTTTTTCTGCCGGGAAAAGCTGCGGCTTCCTCTAAATCTAGAGGGTCAATGGATTTGAAACAAGTGACAACACCGAGCACAAAACAGAATAAAAAGAGAATCAAGTTTCAATTACCAAACTTGGATAATATTGATTATGGAAGTGGTCAAGAGCCAAGTGCAACAAAAACAATGACTGAAAAATGTAAGCAAGGCTAGGAAATACTCACTGAACTTCCACTAGGTTTAATTCACTTGTGTTAACAATTTGGGATTTAATTTTGATTAATTTCAGATGAGAAATCAATAGTTGGAAACCTGCAGCATCGAAAAATGAGGTCAACACACGAAGAGTTCGTCAAAAGCCTTAAAAACAAGCCCAAAAACCGTCCAGCTTCGCACAAAAGCTCTGCCGTTCTCAAGATCTTCCAAAGAATGAATTCGACCAAGGTTCCAGCGCATCTGAATGGCTTTGTAGGCCGTGACGACCCGATTGAATACGATTATGAAGGAGAAGACGAAGTGCTCGAGTCTTCTGGAGATCCCAGGGAAGGCAGTTATAACGCCAAGAAGTCCGGTAGTCAACTAAATAACGAGCAAGCTGAGATTGAACAACAGATCAAGGAGTTGGAAGAGACTGTTGAACGGCTAAATGAAGAATTCAACAAGGGGAATTCAAAAAGTTCTGAAGGAACACTCAATAAATTTCATCCAGTTTTTATCATTTCGAAGAAAAATTAATTATATTTCATGTTTGATGCCTGTACAAGAGAAACGGTAAAAGAATAAAGGAATTCCCGCATAAAATTTGATCGTATAAAATGGCCGCAGCTTGCAGAAAAATGCAATTTTCGGCTCGCGCCCAATATACCAATGTTATTTGGGCGCCTTTCGACGCTTCATCGGAAATCTATGGCCTGCTGGCCGAACGATCTACCAGTTATATTCGTTCCGTTGTTTACAGTGAAAGCTTTCATTTTGTTGTTGTAAAAATTTTTAGATATGACATACCCACCTTTTTTGGCTTGAATTCCCATTTTATTCTCCTCTAGATTTCTTTATTTTTTTCTTCTCGTGAGCGCGTATAGTATACTAGTATCTAAAGGGTTGCAAAGAGAAATACTTGGTTATTTTGTTCTTTTTATGATACATGATAATAATTTTTAGGTGTAAATCTGAGTAAATCGAAAATAACATGAATACCGACCTCCTGGACAAGAACTTCGCCGTTGGTTATCCTGAAGAGCTGGATGGCCAGCTTGACATGGCCAATGGGCATGCAAATGTTTGCAAATTCAATCGACTTGGAACGTTGGTTGCGGTCGGCTCCAATGATGGTCGAGTATTTCTCTTCGATTTTGTCACGCGTGGCTTGATAAAGGTAACTTTCTTTCACTTTTACTTTCTTTTCAATTTTTAGGAAAGATTTTTGGATTCTACGTTATCCTCGATAAATTAGATGTTGTTCGTTCAAAAGCTGATCTTTGCTGGAGCGGACAATGATTGGTGTATCTTTCTAAAAATCATAAATTATAATGCCGCTTTTCAGAGTTGGACAGCCCATGTTAAACCGATCTCATCGTTGGACTTCAGCCGTAGTGGCCGAATGTTGATCTCCGGGAGCGCTGAAAGCGCTGTTGCCTTATGGAATGTTGTCGATACCTCCGGTCAAGTTGACCGCTTTCATTTTGGAACTTGTGTCACTGCTACTTATGCCCACTTTAACCCCAGGCAAGTTGGTCGTACTTTTTTTCTTGTTGTTTAAGGTTTTCGAGCTTGGTGGTCATGAATAACATAAATTTGGGTATTCTTTGAGGTGAAATTATTACCGATTTTTCAGAGATGAGAAGCAGATCTTAGTACTTATTTTTGGAACCCAAACATCATCGGTTTCATCATGCATTCTTCGAAATATTGACTCCAAAGAGGAAATCAGGCTAGGCACGCAATTGCCTTCTCAAGACGACGCGATTTCAGCTGCGACTTTCGACAAGAGAGGCCAATTTGTTCTTCTGGGTACAAATAAAGTAGGTTTAAGCCATTTATGGATATATTTATTTTTTTCTATGCTAGACTTGTGTTGCCTAGTGTAATATAAATTTAGCTACGAAAACAACTTGATTGATTTTTTTTCAGGGCCGAGTTCTTATGTATTGTGCAAAGACCCGCAAACTGTTGAAGACAGTGGCTCAGCAAGTAAACCACATGATACGCAACTTCGTAATCACTCGTCGAAATGGCTTTGTAATGACAAATTCGTACGATCGAATTGTCCGATGCTACAAACTGGAGGACTTTAAGAAAGCGAGCGATGGACAAGTGATTGAGCCCCTGCAGAAGTTTCAAGATATGGTAAACAAGACCTCGTGGAAGTTGATTTGCGCCTCGAACGAGGGGGATTATGTCTGTGGAGCAAGCACAAAGTCGCATTCGTTGCATGTTTGGGAGAGGAATTCGGGCAACCTGATCAAGATTCTTCATGGACCTAAAGTAAGGATGGGTGGATGAAATGACAGTTTTAGGAGTGGTTTCTACGACTGAAATACCTCGATGCATACATCAAAGCAATCGCAAGCTTTTTCTGATTCAGAACGTGTAAAAATTAGCTGCCCAATTTTGGTCTGCAAGGGCGAAAAAAATTTCAGAACTTTTCTTGCAACACCACGCAAATGCCACTTTTTTACATATGAACTACTAATTAAGGTGTAGTAATAATCAAATTTGATATTGTAAGGCTTGTCAGGATGCTAGGGTTTACTTTAGCTCCAACCAAAGCTTTTGAATTGGGAAAAAATTGGTCAAAAATGCATTTGCGTGGTGTTGCGACAAAAGTTCTGAGGATTTTTTCACCCCTTACAAACCAAAATTGGGCAGCTGATTTTTACATATTCTACTGAATCAGAAAAATTTTGCAATTTTTTGATATAAAGCTGGTCACAGAAGTTTTCGACTTTTGTTTTTGCTGTTGAGTCGAATTTCGGTGCAAAAATGGGTTGACATTGATTTTGAAAAATCAGCGCACACTTTAATTTTCGTCCTGAAGCGATTTCCCAAAATCTGCACTGGTTGTTTCCAAATTTCCGAGCTTTTTTGGCGCTGATTTTTCATAATCAATGTCAACCCATTTTTGCACTGAAATTCTACGCAACAGAAAAAATAAAAGTCGAGAACTTCGGTGACCACCTTTATATATGTCTCGACTTGTAGCTCCATATCTCATAGAAGTACCTTCCGTGTAAAGAATTACTATTATAATGATAACCATTTGTTATTTCCAGGGCGAAGTCCTCACCGACGTGCAATGGCATCCCTCCCGATCGATAATCCTCTCCGTCGCCAACGGTGTAGTCTCGATCTGGACCCAAGCACACGTGGAGAATTGGTCCGCCTTTGCCCCGGATTTTGTCGAATTGGATGATAACAGGAAGTACGTGGAGACAGAATTCGAGTTCGACGTGGAAGATGAGGACGCCTCCGAAGAGACCAAAGATCACTTGGATGAGGACGAAGAAGAAGAAATTGATGTAACCGGCCTGGATCCGGCCGATATCGGCAGCAGCGATGATGAAGTCAACGAAGAAGGAACGCTTTGGTTCTTGCCCGTCACAAAGGAAATTGAACAGTTTGAAGAAGAAAAACCTCATGTTTAAGGTGGTCTTATAGTATGTAATTATTTTCTGACGTTTTGAACGTTGTAATTTATCAAATAAACGATTAACATTATGGAAAACGAGGAATAATGGATTTAATGCTTTTTGTTGGAAAAAATTTGATTAAAAATTAATCCTCTGAACCTTGATACAGGAAAAATGCTGATTTCAGTGCAATAAAACTGCGTTTTATGCAACTGATCCCTCTTTGTCAGAGCATTTGATTTTTTTGATGTTTAAAATTACACGTGCACTTGACCCGCATTTGATTTTTTGCCCCCGAATTCGGGAAATAATCCTACCAAAGCTTCTCTTTTATTGCAATTGTTTTTGTCAGAATTATTGCATCCGCATTCTTACCAAAAATACACATACTGAATTTATTAATGATAATTAACACTTGGTCCGGTTTCTAGCTAATGATAACGAAAAAGGTGAAATTTTCTGCTACTTTTCTCTTACATACTTGCTGATAATACGTCAGCGAGTGCCCTGATTGTTTGATTTCTCTCGGATGCAATCTTTTTTAGCTGTTTCTTGATGAGATTTTACATGTTTACATGTAAAATGACATTAGATTGTGGTATTTCCTGCATAATTTTAATTTCGTTAAGACCCTTTACAAAGAGCTGGCAAAAAAGATTGGTATATTCTGTCCTCTGGAGTTCTGGGTTGGTACAATGAAGAAGATCCTAATTTGCGTCTTGGTGATGGCATTGGCGACGGATGCTCAAGACAGGTTCATCACGCGGACACATAACAGTCAGATAATTACAGAGCCACAAAGCTTGGAAATAATGCTTGGTGAAACGCAAACTGTCGAATTTCGGTACATGTAAGTTCCGAAATCTTTCTACGGGCTTATTTGTAGTTTCATACACAATGCTTATGAAAAGTTTAAAAAAAATCAATTAAAAAATCCAAAGGTTGAGAAAATCCTAGAGTAAAGCCTTGAATCATCCCTCGTCAAGGGGTTCCCGTTTTTTAAAGACATTACTTTTCAGAGGAAATGAACCCCAGTCAAATGACGCTCAAACTTTCGGAGAAACCATATTTCTCACTTTCAAGGAGTAGCATATCATTCTCAGCAGATAGCAACAACGCTACCGTCGATGTAACTGGGAAAGAAACAACCAGCAGAGAATTTGTAGACATTGAAAGTTGTCATCAACCAAATGGCTCAAATTGCACGATAAGGTAGCGCATTCTTCTTATACGCTCATACTTTCTATCATTGTTTTTTTTTCAGTGCTGACAAAATTTTTATACCAATTGTAGTAATGCACAATCATGTATTCAAATGGCTGATCGAACTGACTGGTTGGACGTATTTTGTAGCCTGGAGTTTATCCTTCTATCCGCAGGCGATCATGAATTTTCGTCGGAAGAGCGTGATCGGGTTTAGTTTGGACTACGGGTTGTTGAACATTATCGGATTCTTGTGTTATTCCATATACAACTGCTTGCTTTACTTCGATCCGGTAATCCAGGACTTGTATATCGAAAAACATCCACGAGGCGCCATTCCAGTGTTGTTGAATGACGTCGTTTTTGCGGTTCATGCCTTCGTGATCTGTTCTATTACTGGCATACAGTGCTTGATCTATACGGTATGGAGTTCTCTACCACGCAAGGCCAAAAAGCATTGCAATTTTTGCGAACATTCCTCAATCCTCAACGGCCACTAAAACACCAATTTTAGCGAGGATCTCAACGAGTCTCCTACGTTTGTTGGGCTTGGATTTCGATATTCGGCGTAGTCGCGGCGGTCTCTTTATTGTTACGAGTCTTTGGGATTTTCGACTGGCTACAGTTTATATCGGCGTTGTCTTATATAAAATTGGCTGTCACGTGTAGCAAGTATATTCCCCCGGCGTTTTACAACTTCCAACGAAAAAGCACAATTGGCTGGTCAATTGGGACAATTTTCTTGGACTTTAGTGGAGGAATCATGGGGCTGTTGCAAATGGTGCTGCAAGCCGCAAATACAGGTGAAACATCAACTCAATAAAGGTGTACTTGTACTGGAAATTCTAGATGACTGGAGTATTTTCGTTGGAAACGCTGTCAAATGCGGCCTTGGAGTGGCATCCGTATGCTTTGATGTTCTATTTATGGTCCAGCACTTTTGTTTGTACAAGCATGACCAAAAAGTTCATTCAGTCGCAATCTCCAAAGACGACACCAATGTCCAAAAGGACCGATTCTAATCAGTATTATATTCCGTGCACAGTTTATAACCGTTGGAAAACTAAAATTTCAATTTTGAATAAATACACTAACCGAACGCTATATTTATATTTTCCAAATAGTAAGAAGAATTAAATCCAGGTGTTGGGATCGAACTCGCCTCTCAACAGGCGTTGGCCGCCTCAGACGAAAGTCTCCTCGCCGCCGGGCAAGACTAGTGGGAGCGTGGGCGCTGCGACAGAACATTAGTTGGGCATTTTTCGAACAGAAAACGATCTCTTGGATCAAGCCAGCCGGGAAGATTGGACATTGGCCGTCTTGTACTTTCTTTTCTTGAATTACTTTTTTGGAAAGTGTACAGAATACTACGGGTTCCACTCTGTTAACGGAAATTTGTGCTTCTCGTCGGATTTCGATTGTGTTTCTCGCCGGGTTTCGGTGCGGACTGAGGATAAAACTCTTGTAATAGCGATGTTTTCAGTGTTTCCCTGCGGTGACAACGGTAACCACTACTGGGCCCAACGTGAAAACGATTTCACAACCAAGCGTCTCCTGATGAGTTCCCATCTTTCCCCGCTTCCGCAATACTTTACCCCGAGGTGAGACCTAAATTTATTTCCGCAATTTTCACATGAATTTTGAAGCAATTTTCACACTGGGGTTTTTGCTTTTGTCAAAGTTATAATCTGATGAAGGCAAAGTTCGGTAAACCGAATTTCCGAAATTCGGTGTTATTATAAAGGTAAAACAACGGGCAAGCAAAAGGAATTGAAAGATTAAGATCGTCAGTGATTCATTCCGGCTCTCGATTTCGGCGCATTTTTGTCGCTCGATTCCAATGAAAAGTCTCGCTTTTTTTACGTAACGATTATTCGGAGGGCCGTAATTTCCGCTGCCGAATACCTTTAGGGATTGGTTCTGTTCGGAGTTTGAATGATATTTTCGATGACGTTTTGAAATTATAAAGTTTCGGAGAGGGCTCAATGCCTTTCGGAGAAAGATTCTCAGAAAAGTACTGGGAGTTTCAGTAAATAATTTGAAATCTGAGAAAAGTATTCTTTGTCTGGAAAAATGAAAAAAAATATTAGGCAAGTAAAAAAAACAGTTCCGTTTTCCCGCTGCTGATTTGCTGGTGGTAATTGTTATTATATAATATGTTTGTAATGACGTTTTATTAAACAGAAAATCATATTTCCTGGCCTGACAAAAGTTTTTGCTCCCTTCTTTCTATCAGCGTTCGTTTACTATATTCGTTCCACACAAGTTTAACCTTCTTGTATTTGAAACTTTGAACAGACATGCCTCATAAAATTACCATGTCTCATGGATTCCGCCTTCCTATTTTTTTTGTTCGCTACAGATTTGCATTCACGTTCGGATCTATTTTTCTTCACGGACATGTGTTTTTTGCCGCTATTTCTTGTTTTCCAAGGGAGTTGGAAAGGAGGTTAGGTTCGAACAGGGCCCAGCTGTCCGCGATTACCTTCCGATCGGGGCCGTTTGCGATGGATCCGGCCAAAAATGCTTTCTGATCTTTATTTTATCAAAACTTTTTGGAATTTTGAATCGTCACAGTTTTATCGGTAAACTTTGATTTTCACCGTTGGAGTTCTCGATTTCAAAAGGGGTGGATTTTTGAAGGTTAAGACGGAATTGTGTCGGCGTTTACAATTGCGCTTCACAAACCAATTTTCTCGTAGTTCCAGAATAGCCAATATAAACTAGGAAAGCTTTCGTTGCTAAGCCCTTAAGGCAAAATTTAAAAGGTTTCCTGATTTTAATTTTTGTTTTCCATCATTTCCTCTTATCTTACTGATCTTTAAGCAAATTTTCCTCCCATATCAGCAAACTCTTTTTCCAATGACTCATTTTCATTCGCTTGCCCATTTCATTTTGTTGAACCGGAAATTACAAAAACAATCATGCACTAAAATTGAGAAGAAAATATTGCCAATAAAGCGCTGACGTCACAGTCAGCGAACGCAAAGAAAATTTGCGCCAAAGAACATAGTGTTGTAAAATCTCTATCATATTTTATATCGATATTGAAGCCATGATAGCCCCACTTGTGTCAGCCTTTCCACATTTGAATCACAAATACTAGACATATTTTCCTAGACCCCAGAAATAAATATGCGACTCCACTTAACCGGACTTATGCAAATTGACCGACTTTTTGCGCTGACTCAAAACGAAAAGAGTTGGAATCGAAAAAATAATCCAAATTTCAGCCTGGGAAAAACAAAGCGGGATCAAAGTTTTTTGCGGCAAAAATTCTTTCGGAGGTGCAAATTGCGGGGTTTTGTGGGCATCGGAACACCCTTGGATATTAAAAAAAACGTTTTATTTTTATTTTTCGGATAAATGGGGTTTCAGGGATGGGTCTGAGTTATATGCAGGAGGTTTGACAGAATCGTGTAAAATTTTTGTCCGGTACACAATTTAAATAAGCACGATTCATTTAAAAAAATTTAAAGTAGAGAACTAAGAGTAACCTCGTCTTTCAGGACTCGTAGCGTTTCCTACACCAACCTCCGTGCCGCCGCTCTTCAGGATCCGTCGCAAACTCCGGAAGCCCTAGCATGGCAAGCACCGCCCCACCCCCACCGCCTCCTCCACCCCCTGTATTCAGCGCCGTGAGTTAGAGTATTCGCGTTCTCTGTAATTGAATAATTACAGCCAAAGACATTGGCGAGTAGCCAACGGCCATCAACCAATAGTCACAACCTCGGGAGCGTACGTCCCACCCGTAAGTCAAATCAAACTCTAAAAATTTCTATTGGCAAATGTAAAAAAAGACCTTTACTCATACAATCCGAACGCTTGATCACAGAGATTTTGCAATTTTACGACTGAAAACGTTTTTCCCTATTGGAGCCACACCTTGCCAAACCTTGAATCGCAAATTTAATAAAGAGTGAAATTGAAATCCCCTTCTCTGATAACAATCTTCTTCGTTTCAGAAAACACGCAACCTCGAGCCCCTTTTGCCGGAATTCACCCTGAGACATTACAGGTAAGTGGAGGGGCTCTAAGCCTGTTTATCGGAGACATTATTCCACAGATACTGGGTCTGTTTAAAAAGAACGCCCGTTCCCACAATTCTATAATCGTTTTTATCATTTCCAAGATCTCGGGATTTTCATATAATCATATTGCTCTGACTAGCAGAACTGATATGCATATCGAGCTGGCTTACAAATGTTTTTCTGTTTTTATTTTAGCTGTAATCGCATTGAGTCTAGAAATAGGCCTTTAAATGGTTTTTACGTTGTATTATCCATTTTACAATATTCAGCACGCTGCCGCTGGTTTGCGCAAGACCCAGTACCGTGAACCGCTTCTCGCACCTGAACAAGAGCCGAGTATGGGACGACAGACTGAGCTTCCTGCTGGAGGATATCGGCCGCCTAACGCGCAGCATGCGGGGCTGGAACGGAATCCGCCCGGAGCGCCGCTATCTTATGCGTACCGTGGCGCCAACCCACATCCCCAGGTCGGTCAGCACAACGGAGCTGGCGTGGCGGTAAGTTAGATGCTTTATTTGACTGTCAAAGTTGAAGTGGGCATAAGAAAAAAATATTTTTTTTAGCTAAATGCCCGCCCCGGCTATTCTGTTCAATCCTACACCACCAGCTACAACTCGGTTCCCGCCTACAACCCTATATCTTCAACGCCCCCTCCTCTTCCAAATTCTCAACCCCCTCCATTGTCTCCCAATAGTTTAAATAATAATCAAGTTTCGGTTCAACCCATCAAAAAAGATTACAGCTATTCGTCAGGACCAGGTCATCAGGTCCACGTTCATGAAGAGAGCTATGAATCCCCAGCTAACGCGTAAGAAAGATTATCATAGAGAAAATGACGACTTTAGTGTGGATTCT